GGGGATGTGCGTACGATTGTTTATAAGCGCGTTGGCGCATATTCATTACTGAATACTGTAAGGGGTGGGGGGGCATCGCTGGATGAGAGGACGACAGCAAAACTCTTTCCTGTGATTGAGGAAAAAGCCGCAATCGTAATGACACACAATGAGCGTGCCAGCATGCAAACATAAACGTGTGAATTTATTGTAAGTGTAATACACGCACGCACGCATGCAAACGCGGCACACAAGGACACATGCCTAGGTATGTGCGAGCCTATATGCACGCAGGGAATACTGGCAAAAATATCAGGAGTGTACAATATATATATATATATCTACATCTTACTATCTATATATGTTAAAGATATGTATATATATCTATTTATATAATATAAGATCTCTATATGTTATACACTCCTGATAATATGATATTCACTGAACCAAAAGAGGACATACGGCTCATAGATTGCACAAATAAATTTTGGACAAGTTAAAATCAAAATTCGGACAAGTAAAAATTGCTTCTTGTTGCCCGACAGGACAACCAGATCTGAAAATAAGTGTCGAGGCCTGCAAGTTTGGTAGCGCTAGGTCAATTAGGGGCCGAGTTATAGAGCGGAAGGGAAATATGATCAACGGTCAAGTAAAGGTCAAATAAAGGTCGTAGTGACCTGGTTTGGTAGCGCTAGGTCAATTAGGGGCCGAGTAGAGAGCGGAAGGGAAACATGATCAAGGTCAAGGTCAAGGTCAAATAAATGTCGCAATGACCTGGTTTTGGTACGCCTGGCTCACCTTCTCCCCAGATGTGTAAGTATACCAAGTTTAGTAGCGCTAGGTCAATTAGGCCCGAGTTAGAGAGTGGAACGGAAATATGATCAAGGTCAGGTAAAAAGTCAAATAAAGGTCGGCAGTGACCTGGTTTTGTACGTTGGCTCACCTTCTCCCCAAGATGTGTAAGTATACCAAGTTTGGTAGCGCTAGGTCAATTAGGGGCCGAGTTAGAGAGCGGAGGAGGAAATATGATCAAGGTCAAGGTATAAAAAGTCAAATAAAGGTCGGCAGTGACCTGGTTTTGGTACTCTGCCACACCTTCTCCCTAAGATGTGTAAGTACAGCACCAAGTTTGGTCACGCTAGGTCAAATTAGGGTCAAGTTATAAGTGGAAGGGAAATTCTCTGCCGGCGGACCGAGCGCCGGCGGCGGCTGGGGAAGACACGAAAAGCCATAGTATCCCGCCCGACTTCGTTCGCGGGGGATAGCAATTAGCTGGCTGTTTTCAGTAAACCTGGTAAAAGCTGCTTTCGGGCACCCAAAATCCACCAATGTACCCAATCAGTGTAGCAATCTACGTGAAGATTTGATGGCACAAGGCCAGGAACTAATTACCAAATGAATACTTCAACAGGTAAACACTCCTGAAATCCACATGTCAACTTGAAAATAGAAACGTCCAATATTTGTGCACATTATTAGTACACCACCGCGTGATTAGTGCACATTATAGTACACAACATTTCGTATTAAGTCACTTACTGTTCATGCATAGTAAATGATGAATCCTCTCCGTTAGTACATAAATCAATGCCGCCCCAGCCAGGGAGGTATGCATTGCCGCTCTGAATAAATCTGTAATGGTAACAGTGGGTGTTGCAGGCTGCTTTTTTCAGGGACCTTTGAAAACGTTTGAAGTGAGAATGTGGTGCGATAGCGCCCTGGCTCAGAGGATGTTAAGAATATTAAACAACTAGAACTTTTCAGTTGTCCGATCGGGCAACTAGGCAAGATAATAACTTGTCCGACATAGACTTTCACTTGTCCCGAGCAATCGGACAACCGTTAGTGTCGAGGGCTGACTTGGTCCCAAGATGTGTGTCGCGTACCAAAACAAGGTCACTGCGGCCTATTTGACCTTGACCTTGACCTTGACCTTGACCTTGATCATATTTCCCTTCCGCTCTATAACTCTGCCCCTGATTGACCTAGCGCGACCCAACTTGGTATACTTACATATCTTGGGGAGAAGGTGTGTCGCGTACCGAAACCATGTCACTGCAACCTTTATTTGACATTAACCTTGACCTTCATCATATTTCCCTTCCGTTCTATAACTCGGCCCCTAATTGACCTAGCGCGACGAAACTTCGTATACTTACACATCTTGGGGAGAACATGGGGGGGGGGATACATGTAGTTGGCGACAACTGCCCTTTCTAGTTTTAATATGCATCTGTCAACGTTGTATTTTGCAGTTCGGGGATCACGGCCAGGCAAAAATGTCCAACTGACAGAAAATGAGATTCGCGGTCTATGCCTGAAGTCCCGAGAAATTTTCCTCAGCCAGCCGATTCTGCTAGAGTTGGAGGCGCCCTTGAAAATTTGCGGTGAGTATCTATGATTAAAAGCATTCCTGGAATTTTCCTTCTACTCTGTGAGCACATACATCTGCTGTTTACGTTTTATTAGTTATAACATGATTAAAAAAACCTGTGAACCAGATAATTGACCTTGTTTTTCATAACATTGTTGTGATGTAAGTTGTTTGCTTTATTCTCTGTTCTTATTCGTCCATTATTCCAGGGTGCGAAATTAACGGGAGTCCGGAGTCAAATACTCCCTGATTTACTGTCGGACTCCCTGATTTGACATATGCAGGAGTTCGTGTGACTCCCTGAAAATTCTGCCATACTAACTAGTTCGTTCCGGAGCACGGCCTCGCGAAATTACCGTATTTTTTCAGCTAATGTCCAAAGAAAATTTGGCAGATGTGAAACTGCATGAATCTTAAAAATAAGCACATGCGTTATTGTTAATATCTTTCATTTTGAACCTCATACTGCGGACTTCCTCATTTTGCCGCGGGCTCCCTCTTTTCGAGGGTAGGGAGTCCAACGCTCCCATGTTCAAAAGTTAATTTCTACCCCTGTTATTCTATTTCATTTTGCGTCCTGCTACTGATGCTATTCTCCTCCCCCTGTACTGTCCGGTGTTCACTGCCTTGCATTATTTTATGCTAGTTTTGCACTGACCTCTACTCGAAGTCTGAATTACTGCCCTAGTAGGGAACGTGTTGAACTGTTATATGACAATCGGTCACATTTTTTGTTTCAGGTGATATTCATGGGCAGTACTATGACCTGCTAAGGCTGTTTGAGTATGGAGGTTTTCCACCAGAGAGCAACTATTTATTTCTTGGGGACTACGTTGACAGAGGGAAACAGTCGCTGGAAACGATCTGTCTTCTGCTAGCGTACAAAATCAAATACCCAGAGAACTTCTTCCTGTTGAGAGGGAACCACGAGTGCGCCAGTATAAACAGAATATATGGGTTTTACGATGAATGTAAGTTGCTTCTATCTATCTATGTTACTAGAATCTATCTATGTTGAAGCATGTCATAGCATTTTATATTGCACACATGCACATACGAGCATGCATACTGTCGCATACACGCGTACGCGTACACACCATTTGCACTCGTGCGTGTACACAGACGCACGTATTGAACTTAAAGGGACAGTAGCCTCTAGGATTTTACTGCATACAACTGTACTTACTGTATAACAAATCGTCTATACCGACACGTATTTGTTACCAGATACCTAATTTAATATGCTTATAATTAATTACACATCAACGCTACGAAATTTGAACGGCGCCATGACACCGCGACGCGTGCTGCCACCGAAAAGTTGGCGTATTTGACAATTTATTTTGCACGTTACAGACCAGAGGGCTAATCACAAAAGTTCAATTATATTTATACCTAAATGCTATTTAACGAACGATATTCATTTATGGCAAAATTTATCCATATTATAACTGAAACTATATGTCGTTTATAAGATCATTACAATCCTTTTGCTGGTTTAATGAATAAATAAGAAACACCCTCGGTCTGTAGCGCTTGGCTGGAAGTGGGTTTGCGCAACTTATCAGATCGTGCGCTTTGAGTGGCGCCACCGTGCTTGTAATCAAAATGTAGTCGTTAGTTTAAAACTTTTTTTTATAATATTCTAATGGTGATATGAACCATGAAACTATTTATGTAGCGTAATTTTTAACCTAAATTAACTGAAAATAATCCTAGAACCTAGAGTAAACGATCCCTTTAATGTTTTGTAGTAATATAGGATTCATTTGAATTTTAAAGCGATATTGAAATGTATATGCCAGGGGGCCATTGTCAGAAACATCGTAAAGCTAAAATTAATTAATGCTAATGTTAATGCTAAGATAACACTTACGACTAATGTTTTAAAATGTAGCGAGAGGAGCCGTTGGACAGCAAAACACATCGGCCGCTATTAGCAAACTTACGATACAGGAACTTTCATCACAAGCTGCTGATGATGAGAATCGCAATCACAAAATTCAAAATTCATACACATTTATTGAAAGCATCACAGTAATTTTGCGATAATTATGCATGGCTAACCACATATAGAATAATATTTGATGCGGAAAAACGACTGCGGTCATTCTAATTTATTCTGCACGAACAAGGCAATTCCTCAGCACTGTAACACGAGCACGCGAGAGTCGTGGCAAGCGTGGGCAAACATTTAAAAAAGAACAATGTCATAGCGCATGTTGCTAATGTATGGTTTGTTTTATGATAGGAGAATATTAATGAGTTTTGACGTGTTTTTCAAGAAAAACACATTTTTATTCATTGATTTATAAAAGATGAATATTAGTAGTTATTTTAATTCGTAGTGTAAATGTGTTATTTTTCGAACTAATGATTAAAGTTACGAGAGGTTCTGGGTCCTCGTAATGGTTAAGCAGGATATTTTCGAGGCATTTTTGTCAATTCTGCGTAACGCGTTGCGGATGTTTCTGGTATCCGGCTTAACGAGTGCGGAAGTTTAATGTTAAGACTAGATGCTTAAGACTCATTTGGTTTGCTGAAACGGGCCCAGGTGTAAAGTAGCATTTCAAAATTAGATTTTTAGGCTCATACCTGACAAATAGATGCGCAGCCCTTGTAGAATCGCCATGAGCGTGAGTCCGGTCCGTCAACAGTTGGGCACCAAATCTTAACGCGCTTGACGTACGGTCAGCGATATTCGGGACGTGGGGGCGTAATCCGAAACGAGTCTGGAATGTCGAAGCTGGGGGTTCAAAGGTGCAAAAGGTCAAAGAGGTGTAAAATAAGGGGGAAGCATTCTCCTCCTTAACTCTAAGGTAATAGGAGGCAAATGCAGATTCCAGGAGCAAAATCTAAACGGTCCACCTAGGCTCGTGATAGTCAGTGTATACTGTATAGCATGATGGTAGGAAAAGGCATATCACTGTGCCGAACGATTGGAGCGTTACAGCGTCAAAGGGTCAATGGGGCACAGGGCAGATTTTTTAGACATTTTCTGAGGACAGGTCTGACGGAGCGATGAAAAAACTTTTTTGTTTTCAGCGGTGAACCTAGCATTTTATGCTTTATGAAAGGACGCATGAAATGTACTTCTGCTGACATGCGAAGAGTAAGTGCTCGATAACCTTTTGCAAACCTCAAGAGCGAGGCGCTTAACATGGATTTGTTTACTGTTAGAAAGAATTTGACTGCCGGGTTTGCTAGTAACCTCATACATCCAGGCATGTATAGATTCCTACAATGTCACAGTGAAATTTTAAAAGCTAAATTTGGTTGGCGAAGGTTTATGCTCCTTAAATCGTATAATTTCTATGGCATTTTGTACTGTCAGTGTCAGTGTGTTACATGTTACGTATGCCACTGCCAGTGCATGTGGTGGTGATATTACTGTGTAGTTTTTGCCTGCGTTAATTAGTTACAGGTGGCAGCTCTCTATTTCAGCCTGTAGGCTTGCGTAGGTAAATGGATGAGTGCTTACCTATTCTGTCTTGCAAATAGTTGTTGCTACTACGTTCGATGGGAGCTTCCATCTTTAATCTTAAGACACTTAAACGTACGCGCCATCTCGTGGCAACTTTCATAATGATCCCAACGAACATTCCTTTGAGAAGGTTCCCGATACCATCCCTGTCAGGGCTCGAATTAAGCGACGAGAAGGGCATGGCAATTTTTTTAGGGCATGTGAGAAATCACCTTGAATGTTCTCTAAAATAGAAAGGCACCAAGGCAACTCTCAAAATTTGAGAAGGGCACCAAGGCACTTTTGTAAAATAAAGGAAAACTCATAACAAATTAGTACAACTCATATCAACATCGTCTTGCTTTTAATGTACAAAACAATATGCCCCCATGTACAAGCTTACACGGTAACACCGACCCCTGTACCCACCTCTGCTAATGGAAGTACAGTAACAAGAAATTTTACATGCCCGCTATCAGGAGCAAATAATTATCCGATGCCATTATTATTCCCTCCTGCGACTATCGGTTTTTAGCTCATCATTGCAACTACAGCACGCACGCGCACGTGTTATCTTGATTCGACTAAAAACGAAACTAGGGCAGTAGATTAAAGGGCATCGACGGCAATTACACAAAAGGGCAAGGCAGGTGACTGCCGTCGGTCGGGTTGGATTTTCAGGGGCAGTACGGCAATTGATAGGGGCACCGTCGGTATATTCGAGCCCTGATCCCTGTGCCTTCCACTGTTTCGCCGTGTATGTGAACACATTTGGGACTAACAGGGTTTACTAGAATCCCACCACTCCACCACAGAGTCACCACAGTAGACGTTAGATGAGCGCTGTCGCTCCGCGGCACTTGTTCCTATTTTCTGGGCAATTCCTATTTTATCCTATTTTCTGGACAAATTCCTATTTTTTCCTATTTTTGAGGGCTTTTCATTTTTCTGAATCCAGAATTGTATGTATCCTTCTCAGAATGCAGGAATTTACATTTCAGGTGACCCAATTTTCAAAAATGTTCTGGGGGAGGAACCCCAGACCCCCACCCCTTACTTTTAATTAATGTAATATTATATACTTTTTAGCTCATCTGACGTAGTCAGATGCAGCTTCTAGAATCGCATGATCGTCCGTCCGTGCGTCCGTCCGT